GGTTGATTAGTCACTTCTCCAACATTTCCCTTTCCTCTGTTATTGAGTGGCCACAGTCCATTCAGTTAAGCTGGTCCAATGAAAGGACTGGCATTGACCACCATGTGCTTGTGGCTGGGTGGCAAGGGATCACTACACACAAAAGAACAGCTAATGACACCTATCAACCACAGTGACAGATAATCTCTTCTCCTTAGCACAACAATACACCCACAACAAGACACACTAATCACCCATCTACAGAAAAAGACAAAAGCCTATCTTACAGCCATAAATGCTGCACTCCCAAGCCAACTACACTAGAGCACAGAGTGCGGTCCTCTGAAGATGCCAGACACAGAGTCTGGAGAAACGTTAGGAAGAACAACCTTCAGAACATGGCCAAAGAGCCCGAAAAACCCACAACAGCCATTAGATCCCGGCCGTGAAAGCCTTCGAGGATTAGAAGTGGTTGGTATTTCTATGAGAGGACTTCCATGTAGGACAAGGAAAAAAATCTTGTCTGAATCCCAGAAAGCTACTGCCAGCAAGACTGACACTGGAGTATGTTTTATACAGAGAGGAGCTTCTTGAACTTAAGAGCCTGCTGTTTCTCAATTCAAAATAAGTTACTATCGTCTGATCTGACTGTCAGCAGTTTTCCAAGGTCTCTGACAGAGATTTTTCTCATCACTTATACCTGGTATTTTTCTTAACAGAAGATGCAAAAGACATGTTGTAGAGTCCTAGCCAACATAACACTTTCTGGTTGTATGAACAAGCTCATATCAATCGCATTCACCACACAAATTAGTTTTTAAGGGTGCAGTGGGATCCAGGAAGGAAGGTTATGTTAGAATTCAACTAAGAGTTGTATAAGACATGGGATCAAAATCAGGTCTATCAACTGCTGTTGGTATACCAACAGAGCCTCCACCTGCAGTGACGGTATACCTCTTGATCACAGACTCGTACAATAATTGAGATGGAAGGAGTCTATAAGGACATCAAGTCCAACTCCCTGCTCGGTGCAGGAATCCAAACCAAATTATATCTGACAGATGGCTGCACAATTTTCTTTTGAATGCCTCCAGCATTGGAGCAATCATCAACTCCCAAGGTAACTGGATCCATTGTTGAACTGCTCTAACAGTGAGGAAGATTTTCCCGATATTCAACCACAATCTGGCTTTCTGAAACTTGAGCCCATTATTACATGTCCTGCATTCCGGGATGATCAAGACCAAATATTCCCTTCCTCTCTACGACTACCTTTCAAGTATCTGAAGAATGTTATCCTATCTCCCCTTAGTCTTCTTTTCTCAAGGTTAAACATGCCCAGTTCTTTCAGTTTTTCCTCATAGGGCTCAATACACAACTGTTCTCTAAAAGCCCTGTTTAAACTCTGCACAATTCAATAAATTCCGTATTAAGGATATACGCCAACCAGCCTTACATTCTTTTCAGCTTTACATGCACAATGGACAAGAGCACAGAATCTGCACTTTTTTACACATACCTTATTGAAACTACAAAATTTTCAGAACTATTACAAATTCTCAAGTGGTGAAATTCACTTCCGATTACTGTCCCATCTGATTGCAAATCTCAGCTCTGCCATGAAAACTCACAGGGGTGCATGGGGGCAGTGGTAAGCCCCTCACCTACTTCAAAAAAAAAAATCAGGGCCACCGTACATCAAAAGCAATTTGACAACACAGAGGAACAACAACTGTGCCTATCGACTACGTCACCTTTGCAACTAAACTCTGTGATAATCCAGTACAAGTTGTAAGACAGCCAACTAAGGAGCCAGAGGTTGGGGGTTTGATTCCCCGCTGTGCCTCCTGCAAGTACAGCCAGCTTGTGTGGCCTTGGGCAAGTGACACAGTGCTAGGGCACCTCCAGAAGAAGGGAACGGCAAACCTCTTCTGAGCATTCTCTACCTGGAAAATTCTGAAAAAGAGTCTCCATAAGTCAGAACTGCCTTGACAGCACACGGTTATTATTATTATTATTAAGAAAAAGTGTCACGATACAGCAGATGGTCAACAAATTCTCAGTGATTTCTGCGGGAGAATTAAATATGGGCTTTGGTCTCTGAGACTGAAACCACTTTGGAGCGAGAATGCTCCTCTTGTACCATATAAATCCTCACACACGTTGTTAGCACAGTATCATTTTCCCCACATGGAAGTCAACAGGATTTGTACCCCTAAGTTCACTCAGAAATAAGCCTCTCTGCTGGACATTTTTCCTTCCCTCTCTATGTTATGTGTAAGCCTCACTTTGGCTAGGTTGTTCTCTTAGACCAGTGATGGTTAACCTATGGCACGCGTGCCACAGCTGGCACACAGAGCCCTCTCTGTGGGCATACGAGCCATAAGTCACCATAGAGAAATACTTACCCGTCCTCCGATCCCAGATTTCAGCACTCCCCTCTGCTAGTGCAGTGGTCCAGCAGAGGGGTGCAATGGCAACCATTACCAGTCTAGCCCAATGGGGGTTTGGAGGACCAGTAAGTACAATATTTATTTGTTAATACCGCCCATGGGGGGGGGACACAAGCATTTAACCCTTGCAGGGCAGAAACAGTTGGTTTTTCTAAACTGAAACCTCAGCATTCAGGTTTGAATTGCAGTATTGGCACTTTGAAAGAAATAAAGTTGATTTTGTGTCGCAGTTTGGGCATTCAGACTCAAAAAGGTTCACCATCACTGTCCTAGACCTAGAGAAGGGCTTCTTAAGATACACATAGATCCAGATCTAGGCACATGGGATGGGTTTTAAACCCAAAACACTGGGAGCTTTGCAAGGGGGAGAGAAAAAATAACCGGATCTGTGCCTTCTGCCACAACGTCTTGCCCTCTCTCTCTCTCTCTTTGGACCATCTCCATCGCAAGGAGAAAAGGCCACCAGAGCCCTTCTCAAGCTCTTCTCCCGAGACACTATTAATAAAAACTCCCTGGCAATCGTCACAGCCAGAGAAGCCAGAGAGAGAGAGAAAGGCGAAGGGGGGGGGGCAGGCAAGCGCTGGAAATCACGGGTTATTGTTTAAGCGTGAACAGATCAATTACTCAGCATTGACACCTCCGCACCTCTCCCGTTATTGACAGACCCTTCCTCGGGTGAAAAGGGAGCCGGGAAGGAGGGATCTTCCTCTCCACTCCAGTTTAGAAAAACGGTGCTTCAAACTTGCACCCAGGAGACACACCTGCCTTAGGAAGGTTACGACGGGCCACTATCCACTCTCCCCCCTCCCCCAAATGCCAACCTCTCTTGCCACCAGCGCTTCCAAGATTGTCCCCTCCGGAGGTGCCTTTTTAATGTACATCAATAAATGCGACTCGTCCAGGGAGTCCCACCCCACGTCCAACCCTCGGCATGAATGCAACGCATCTGCTCTCCAAATAATAGCGCGCGGGGGGGGGACAAACGCTGGAGGCAAACAGGACAGAAGTCCGGCGGGAGGGGGGGGAAAGCATCTGATGGCGCACGTTGTGGCGTCTCCTTTTTTTAAAAAAAGGCGACAAACGTTCCAGCGCTTGCAAAAATGATCCGGAAAATGCACGGAGGAAGACCCACCTCCCCCCCAAAAAAATACACACCACTCTGATCATGCTTTCAAAAATAGACCACCTGCTTGCAGTTTGGCTTTTTAATTTTTTTTTTTAAATTTTGGCAATGCAGCCAAACATTGCAAGCATTTCTAGGAAAGGAAATAACCTGCAAGCAAATGTCTCCGTTTCTTTTTTTCTTTTTGCACAGCCTGCCTGAGCTGTTGTGACCCCTCAATCCCTCTCTCTCTCCCCCTTTGCCATCATCTGAACACCTTTGCTTTGTTCCACCTCGTCCTTCCCCTCCTTCTCCGGCTGCCCATCCTTTTAACATCTTTTGCATATTCACTATTTAGCAGGGGCATCTTGTAGAATTAAGCTTCTTCTCTTCCCTGCCCCTGCCAGCCGGGCCACACTTTTGCCCCCAAAACGCAACATTTATATACCTCATACCCAGACGCACGTACATACATGCATACACCGCTGGCATATAGTATACCATGCTGTTATTCCCTCCCTCCTTCCCCGTTTTATTTTATTTATTTTTTCTATTACCTTCTGGATAGTTTGCTGAGTGACCTCCCCTTTGCCTCTTGGACGAGCAGAAGCAAAGGCAACCGACATGGTGGCGTGGTTATTATTATTTTTTTAAAAAGATTTGTCAATAATACAGTGGTTCCCAGGGTGTAATAATATTGTTATTATCTGGCTGCTATTCCTGTGCAAAGGCACAGCATTCGCCGCAGTGCATAAGGAGGGGAGCCTGAGCAGATGGTACAATCTGCGCCTTGCAAGGAGCCTGGGGCATTGCACCAAGAACCTCCATGCACCCCTTTTACCTGGACGCTTCTACTCCCAAGGCAAGGCGGAGAGCCAGCTGCTGAGGTCTAGCGGTGGGGGAAACCAGCAAAGCCACCTGAGCTGCGTTGCTGTCGCCCCCCCTCCTTCCTCTCCAAATCCACCTTCCCCTCCTCCCCTTCGCGTTGCACATGGTGCATCCCTGCTGCTGGGTTTCCTGTCGCAAGCGAATAGCAACTCTCTCTCTGCCTTTGCTCACAAGAGCATCTTGATGCGCCAAGTACGTAAGAAGAGGCCGCTCCGCTACGCCAAATGCGTGGGCGCGGCAGGTAGAGAGAAGCGGGCGGGGAGACAGAGAGAGAAAGAGTGGGAGGAGCGAGGGAGGCAAAACTGCGCAAACGTCACAGGCGTAACGCCACCTAATGACTTTACCTGCGCTACTGGCGGAGGGACAAGCCCCTCCCCACCGCATCAGTACCTTATGACCTTGCCTTTCCACATCCCTTATCAGCCGACCAATCCCATCCGTCGCTGTGTAGTGCATGCAAAACAGGGAGGCGGAGTTGTCTGTGGCGGCAGGTACGTACTTGACGTAGAGCCTTCTTATTTTTTTTCCCTGCTTGTTTTCACAACTTCCCCGTGTAGTAAAAGTGGCGGAGTTCTACGTCAAGGGCGTTGCGCGAAGAAGCCTGCGCGCACGCGCGCGTGGGGGTGACGCGACGCGCCTGCGCGGTGAGCGAAAGTGACGGTGCTGTTTTGAAGGAGTAAAAAAAAAAAATCCTCGGGCGGCCGGTGCTTTCTTCCCTTCAGGCCGGGCGCGTCGTTGCGGGGTTCTCTCTCGTCAGGCCGTCGGCATGAGCTACGACCGGGCTATCACCGTTTTCTCCCCAGACGGGCACCTCTTCCAAGTCGAGTACGCCCAGGAGGCCGTGAAAAAAGGCTCCACCGCGGTAAAGAAAGAGCCCCTGAGGCGACTGTTTGGGAGGGGAGGAGGGGAAGGGGAGAAAATGGCCTTTGCGCCACGAAACTGAGGGACGGAGGGCCTTGGAGGGCAGCCGCGAGTAGGTGGGTGGGAGGGAGGGAGGTAAGTTAGGGGGCTCCCCGTTTTGCGTACCGTGAACGAGCTGCATCCCAACCAGGAGGCGGTTTTAAGGAACGGCCCGCGTGGCTACACCTCGCCGCTTAAAATAAATTGAGATCCAAATCCAATTTGCCCATCTTCCCCCAATTTGTCTCCGCCGTTGGGAAGGCAAAAGAACAAGTGGCGGGGCGGGGAGGAGAAGTAGAAGTAACGAGGCGGCGGCCTAAGGTTTTCGCTCTGGATGTTCGCCCTGGCTGTGTCGGGAAAAGCAAAATAGAAAAAGTAAACTAAATAAATAAGACAAAAACGCGTTTCTTTTAAAAAAAAACCTTTATATATATCACCTCTGTATCTATATCACCTATACGGGGCTGTAGTTCTAAGCCAGTCTGAGGAAATGGACGTCCCCAGGAAAGCTCATATTACAGTATATTGATATAGATGCATAGGTGAGCTTCCCTGAGGAAATTCACTTCCTCAGACTGGCTTGGAACCACCGGGCAGAAGAAGAGGGTCAGGTGTTGGAGGTTAAGTTCAGGCTGCGGATTTATGGTCCCTTCCAAGGGGAAACACACACACACACACACACCCCTAAATCCTCCCTCACACTTTTAGCCCATGTTGTTTAAATAGAAAATGGGGATAGCTTGTTGGGAGGGAAGGAGAGGTACAGAAATAAAATTTTATGTAAGTCCACATACTTTGAAGCAATGTAATGTGAATGCATTTGTATGTCACATTTTTTGTTTTGGGGCTAAGGACATTTCAGCCCTTTTCTTTTCCCCCACCACCTTACTTGCACAGGCAATATTTGTCACTCACTCCATGGGAATCACTGACCTAAGCTGCAGTAAATATATAACTGAACTGAGTTTAGCTGGTTTATATACCATCCCATTACTGATGCACAATGTCTTGGGCAGTTTACAGCAAAATAAAATATAACCTGGCAACTATAGAGTTATAAATAAAACCAAGAGCCTATAAAGCATACTACAAGAGGCTTAATGTCAGTTATCAGATAAGGCAGAACAGAGGCATAAAATTAGATGTAAAATCAGGCAGGATTGTTATAGAAGGCTTCTCTAAATAATGTAGTATAGGAAAAGAGTGATGGTTCATTTTGCAGGTTGTTTATTTATTTATTATGGGGGTGGTATTATTATTATTAGACCCAGCTATGTCACAGTAAATGTGTAAAATCAGTATTTCACACTCTAGTAGCTCCAGAAAAATATGTATCAAAAAACAAGGCAACTATGCATGTTGCTACTAATTCAAAAGTACAGCATTCTCATCAGCCCTAAATACATATGCATGTTTGCTTTAATTTACTTTTATTAGAGGTTGCTTCCACATCTTTTAAGGAAATCCAGGAGATAAGTGTTGATTTATAGTGATAGTTTGCCTTGAGAGCAATTAAAGTTTCCGTCTTGAACTTGGAACAGCAGTAAAAATTCTGCTCATGTGTACATGATGGTTGGCAGTTGACAAACATTTGCAATTTTGTTAAGGTGACAAAATTAACAAATTGCTTTGTAATTTATTCCCTCTCATATATTGCCAGAGTTGGGAACAACGTTGCCTTTTGTTCATGGTGTTGATATTTTGTGCAAATAGTCTCACTCATGTGGACTCCGTTTTTAGTGTTATGCTACCCTGAAACAGAGTATACAGTTAAATCAGCTGTGACTTCATATTTAGCAGTTGATTCAGTTGATTGGCAGTTGAGTTTATAGCTATGGATTCTACAAAACACAAGATTTCTAGGAAAACAAAAAAAGATCAGATAAAAGAAAATGAGAGGCTGTTTAAAACTTACCTTAACATTTCTGTATCACCATAAAACTATATAAGGCAGTATATATGCAATTTTCTGCAGTTTATTGATATATGATTTACTAACCGTAATGTCATAGAAAGTAATGCTGCTTATAGGTTTACATGTCCAAATTCTGTGCCAAATAAACTAACACTTGTATGTTGCATTTATACCCCGCCTTTCCTCCAGTTTGCTCAAGGTGGCATACATGGCATCTCCTTTATTTTTGCAGCATCCTTTGTGAGATTGGTGAGACTGGGAATATATAACCAGCACCAAGGTCATCCAGTGAGCAGGGTGGATTTGATTTAAATCAAGTTGATTTAAATCGTGATTTAAATCAATAATCATGATTTTTAAATGTAAAGACTCAATCTTGCTGGTAGATATAATCTTTAGTATTTCCAGCTAGATGACGATTTCATATTTAGAATTATATGTCAGATTAGTAAAACATATTGGAGCTGATTTTAGTTTAATAGGTTAATCAGTTATATTTGGAGAACCACTTAAATTGTTTTATTTAAATAAAACAATACCATTACTAGCATACATATTTTAACAGTGCTTATTAACTGAAGTGGTTAAACAAAATATCTTTTTAAAAAGCAACTATCTTCCAAGTAATCTTCAAACCTAATATTGAAGGTACAGTAGGAACCCTGCTATCCACAGGATCAGAATCCACTGATTCACTTATTCATTGCCTGAAAATACTAAATACCCTCCACCCGAAATGCATATTTATAAGTATTTCCAGGGTGTATTTACCAGAACTGGCCATTAGAGGAATACACAGACAGTGCAATGTATAGCGTTCGCTACATCCACATTTTTCAGCATCTGTGGGGAGGCTTGAAACCAACCCCCTGGGTATACCATGGTCTTACAGTAAAATGTTCATTATTTGTACATAGATTTGCAGAACAACAATGGGATTAAGGTCTTTTCCTAAAGTTTGTTTATTTTATACAATCTTACAGTGAAAAAGTGCATGCAATCTCATCTTGGATAACTTGGATTAATTTAATTTACAAAAAATGTAAATATTACATGAATATTTAACTCATGCTACATAACTAAGCTCTATTTCATGATGAATAACCTTTGAACTATAATGTATCTTATATAGAAAACTATCTTTGGATTTTTCCTCCAAAAGCATTTCATTAAAGTAAATCTGATTTAAACTTTACAAAATTCTGTTTTTAAGTTTAAAAACCCTCAGTTTTAATCCACCTAGCCAGTGAGTTTTATGGTCAAGCAGAGATTTAAGTTCCAAGTTATTTAATAACAACAATAATAATAATTAATAATAATAAAGCAGAGATTTAAGCCCACTTTCCCTAAATTTCCAGTCCAACGCTTTTTAACTGCTGTGACACACTGGTTGTCAATTCCTCATTTCATCTTTCATCTAAATAGGGTGGGGAGGCAAATTTAAAAAAAAATTGGAGTGTACCAAATATGCTTTGGTAGTCATAAATGAGTTTAATTTACGTGGACTGTGGATTTGAATCAAAATTGTCTTCTAACAAATTGTGTAATATTAAAGGTTGGCGTACGAGGAAAAGACATTGTGGTTCTTGGTGTAGAGAAGAAATCTGTGGCAAAACTTCAGGATGAAAGAACTGTCCGAAAGATCTGTGCCCTTGATGACAATGTCTGTATGGCATTTGCAGGTACTGCTAAAGTGGTATTTCAGAAATGGCATTGGGATAAAACTGTACTACTTGTTGGAACAGTGCTGTAATGTTGAAAAAAAAATAAGCAATGCCATATTTTGCCTTTACATTCCATTATTAATTAACAGTTATTTAGTGACTGAATGGTTAAAAAGTTATAATAAATGAGACTCTTATGGGTTGAAGGAAGAGATTTCAGAGCTGAGGTGAACTACTTTAGTGGACCTGGAAGTCAAACTTTTTCTCCCAGTCAGTTACAGGTCACATTAGGAAATGGCTGGAAAAAAGGGGGGCATAAAAAGGAAAAGACCAAATAGCCATTTCTGGTTCTGATTTTTTGTCTTGGGGACTCCCAGCACTATTCTGAAGCAGAAAACTGCTTCTGGAGGCTTCAAAGTGTTGGGAACGGAATTTCTTATCCCATCCCAGGGCTGTATGCAGTCTGGGGGCAGTACTTTGGGTATCCAAGAATTAAATGGACATCTCCCTGTTGCTGAGTTAGAATTTTTGAAGCTTGCCCTATGAAGTGACTGATGCACTTTTCTTTCTTGCACACTTGTTTTATATGTGTTATGAAGCAGATACAATGTATTGCATTATATGGGAAAACATGTAGTCATTTATGAACCTTAGCTGAGAATAGATGCAAAGAGGAATATCTAAATCGGGAAGTTAAAATTTAGTTCTTAATTCTTACATACCTTTCTAATTGCATTCTAAGTATTCTGTGGGGAAAAATAATTGTTCACATTTTAGTTTGACTCTTTGCACTTCAGGGAACTTTAACTTTGCCAATATATGCTTCAGAGCTTGTAGAACAATATTTTCTTGAAAGTTGTCATTTTTAACTAGGAAGATAATAAATACCTTTTGTGCTTCCATGCCCATTATGTTAAATGCTGCATTTTTGTTTTTTAAAAATATTTTCAGGGCTGACAGCAGATGCTAGAATAGTTATAAACAGAGCACGCGTGGAGTGTCAAAGCCACAGACTTACAGTAGAGGATCCTGTTACTGTGGAATATATTACACGTTATATTGCTAGCCTGAAGCAGGTATGTAAAAAGAAAAGAATAAGATAGTTCTTGTTGTTAAAAGGTAGTTAACTAAAGTTTAATGTTGTGTAGCTTCTTTTTCATGCATCAATGAACTCCAAAGAAGTAGAATATAAGGCAACTTATTTTACCAAAATTGTAGATGAATAGTATGTTTCTCCGAAAGACTGTGAAAAGCAATACAGAAGAGTGCTAGACCAAGTTGTCTTCGTGATTTCTGTAGCTTAACATACTTGTCTCCTTTAACTCTCATTTAGTTACTTAGTGTTAGCTCTGTACAGTAAATATGTCTTTAAACAAATTTTCCAAAATTTTATAAGAAAATGTAATACCTATTGTATGTAAAGTCAAAATTCTAGTTTCTCCTTCAATTTTTACTTTCTGCTGCTGCTACGTTCAGTAGGATCCTTGGCTGCATTAATGCGTTTAACTATTAATTTTTTGGGACACATCTAGTATCTCCGAACAATTTGCAGTATAGCTGTTCATAAGAAGGCAGACTTCATAAGATAGGGCTAGGCAGTCCTATACAAGGCTGCTCACCAATAGGTCAGTCCCTCTGAGTTAAATGAGACTTATTCCTGGGCAAGTTCCTATAATCCCATTGTTTCACTTAGTAAAAATTCATGACTCAGTCAGACACAGCTATAGGATGGAATGACTTTAGATAAATAAATTGGCTCTTTCTGTTTTCCCACTATTGATATAAAAATGGCTCCAGAGAATCACTCTGCAGGGCATTAACTGATAGTGACTTATGTTTCTCACAGAACAAATTCAGAAAAATTGCCCTGTGTCCAGGTTATCAGCTGTGAAATGATTTTATCAGAGATATTTACTTCAACCGTGTACCGTTCTGCTATAATATGAAGCTTCTCTGTTTCTCCTCAGCGCTATACCCAAAGTAATGGTCGCCGACCTTTTGGTATTTCTGCCCTCATTGTGGGATTTGATTTTGATGGAACTCCACGGCTGTATCAGACTGACCCTTCTGGCACGTATCATGCATGGAAGGTGAGTTGATTGGTGCTGTTTTGCTGGAATAAAGGTGATACAGTGGTGCCTCACTTAGCGACATTAATTCATTCCGCAAAAATCGCTGAAGAACGAAAATGTCACTATGCGATATTAAAAAGCCAGTAGAAACGCATTGAAACCCCTTCAATGTGTTCCTGTGGGCTTAAAACTCACCGTTGAGCGAAGATCCTCCATAGCTCCGCCATTTTCAGTGCCTCTAATGTGAGGAATCCCTCCCTAAACACAGCAGGCGGCCATGCTTTTTTCCCGGCGGCCATTTTGAAACCGCCGATCAGCTGTGCGAAAATGGGGGCTTTGCGACGATTGCTTCCCTGTGATCATCGCAAAGCGAAATTTCCCCCTAGGGAACATCGCAAAGCGATTGCTTTTGCGATCGCAAAAACAGTGTCACTAAGCGATTTCATCGCTATACGGAGCGATCGCTGTGCGAGGCACCACTGTAAGAGCATTTTCCTTGCGTACATATAGCCTGTTTGCAATGTAACCAGTCTCTCTTGTAACTGTGTAGTCTTATCCATCCTTACTTTCTTAATCACCTTCTGTTCATTGTTTCCCATTCTGGACCATTTGTGATCCTTCAGATGACACTGATGTCCACAACAACACTTTGAATAGAAGCAGTAATCTTCATGCTGCTAGTTAATTGTCTATGTTAGCCTGTTTAAACATATGGCAAGTGGTAATCTGATATTCTATTTAAAACATTACAATTTTTATCATTAACTGGCTGCAACTTCAAGTACTTTGATTATGATTTAGGTCAGGTAGGAGACTTAAACTCTGCTAAAGTATTGTCTTCAGATCGTTTACATGGTTTTCCCTATAGCTCTCTTTAGATATATGATTGAAAGAAGGTAATTTCCCTCGCTGAGGTTACTTAAACTGAATTCACAGATTACTTTAACTGAAGCTACGGCTGCCAGATGCTGGGGGAAGGAGGAACTTGTTTATATTATGTCTGTTTTCTTCAGCCTTTTGAGAGGTGAAGGAACTATACTGTCTTTTTTAAGCATTATAGAACGCAGTGATTTTGTATCATGTCATAATCAAACCTCTGTGGCTAGAAAGGTTTTTTTAAAGAGGTGTGTGGAAGAAAAAGCATTGTCTGCCCCAGCAAGATTGTTGCATTTTGGATTTACTTCATTTAGATACATCTAATCACTTACAGTAGGAATAGAGACCTTTGGTGAGTCCAGAAGCAAGTTTTCTTCTCTTGGGCTCATTTGTGGGGCTGCACAGACTACCAAATGCATAAGAAATAAAACGAAGTGGCCAGAAATCCAGTCCTGGTTTTATAGAACTCGGTATTTTGCTGTGTTAAAGCATTTCTCCTCCCCCACTTTCTTTTGTGGGCAATACCTTTTTTTTGGGGGGGGGGGCAAATTGAGGGAAAGCCTTATTAAGGCCTGAGGCTGCATTTGGCCCAGGGCCACCCTTTGGTTACCTATGACTTTTACTATCTGATTTCATCTTTTCTTTCAATGTTGTCTCTTGTTCCTCTGGTTTAAGGATAATTATATAAAGAAAATGAAAGTGCATAAGCAATGTATCCTTTATCGTTTCGGTTGGCTTATAAACTAATACAAATGAACCTTATTTTAATCTCAGGCTAATGCAATTGGCAGAGGAGCAAAGTCAGTGCGTGAATTTTTGGAAAAAAATTACACTGATGAAGCCATTGAGACAGATGATCTTACCATTAAACTTGTTATCAAAGCCCTTCTTGAAGTAAGTCTGAGAATTTTGAGTTCTTACTGTCTTAAACTTGATTCTGTTAACTATTAACACCCTCGATGGTTATTGATAGATTTATATGCACTTTGTTTTTCCTAAGACTAAAATACTAATACTATAATAGATTTGATAGGTGAAATCTGGTATTTTAATTTCAGTCAGTAAGATTTTAAAAAAATTAAGTTATAGTTTAACTTCATTCAAAATGAATAAGAACTAAATATAGTAAATATCCAGTTTTAAAATATTGGTTCAAAATGCAGTTTTTGTGTGCAAGCACTACAAAGGTGTGCAGGAGACCACCCAAAAGCCCACAGGACTATTTGGATTTCTTCCTCAGAAGAAGATTTGGCCATGGATATTTTCTTGCAACCCTTTGGTGTCCCCATTTTCAGTTGGGTGTAATTGGTTCAAAATGCAGTTTTTGTGTGCAAGCACTACAAAGGTGTAGTGCAGTAGTGTTCAGGAGACCACCCAAAAGCCCACAGGACTATTTGGATTTCTTCCTCAGAAGAAGATTTGGCCATGGATATTTTCTTGCAACCCTTTGGTGTCCCCATTTTCAGTTGGGTGTACAGCAGGCATAGTTCTCTTCATTCATGTTGATCTCAGTGGGATGGATGTAAGAAAGGAAAAACAATTCAGAAAAGGAGAAATGAGAGAAGGGCTGCCCCCCTTTCTCTCTTTTTCCTGCTGTCCTGAGAGATATTTGGATTCTACAGAAGTTCCACCCATGAAGTAAATCTTTTCTAGATTGAAGATGGCCTTTGCACATAGGAGTGGTGTGCAGCAGCTCAGTCTGAGATGTCAAAATTCTTTCATGAGGAAAAAAATGTCAGTTGAGTTTTTTTCTAAATAAGCCTTTTTCTAACACTTTTTCTTATTTTCCTGAATATAAGGTTGTACAATCCGGTGGGAAAAATATTGAGCTGGCAGTTATGAGACGAAACCAACCTCTTAAGGTAAAGGGTATTTAGTAATATTGCTTTCTGTGTTAGAGCTTGTACTTATGTAACTATGGTCTGTTCCCACAAACTACAGTGGGATACTATTTAAATCTAGTGGCTTCCTAATCTAGTGGCAGTGCAGATAGAAAATGAACAGTCTACAAGAGAAGCTTATTTCAGCCAGTTTCATTCTAGCTTCCTGCACAGGTAAGAAATGTACACACACACCTTTTTGTTCCGTTCCTCTTTCTAGTTCACTGTCCTCTTTGAGAAACTGTCTGAAATGGAAATGGGCATAAATCTCTGGTTCATCCTTTGGATAAACAGGCGTTCCATCAGTACCCGCTCAGAGGCAGTGGCCAGCGAAGGCAAGGCAGGGAAGCCTTGCGCTGCCTCTGAGTGGGCGCTTGCCAGAGGAGGTGGGGGTGAGAACCGCCTTTTTGTCCAAAGCACAAACCACCAGACCAGCAGTTCACATCCATCTTTATTCCCAAAACAATTTGGCTTGACGTTTCCCAGCTGAAGGACGAGGCCAGGATTTCAGCAGCTCTGTGAATGATTAGAAAGCATTTCTGCAGATAGCAAGAAGTATGAGTAGCTCCAATTAGTGTGCTGCCCCTTTATAGAATTTATCTCAAATTGGTTTACAATATAACAAAGCAATGTGCAAGTAACCCAATTAAAAATAATAAATAAAATGGTAATGTGTTGATGTTCTTTCTGCAGTTTTAAATTAAATGATCCTCCTTATGTTTTCAAATACATGCCATTAAAATAGCTGAGAAAATTAGAGTGGTGTAAGGTGATACTGAAATTATAAGATGCATGCCAGGTGAATCTTCTGGAGAATGAGTTTCACAATTAGAGTGACTGAGGTTTATTTATTTATTTATTTATTTATTTATTTATTTATTTATTTATTAATTATTGCATTTATACCCCGCCCATCTAGTCAACTGACTACTCTGGGTGGCTTCCAACATATATAATAAAAAAAATACATTATAGATGAAAGCTTCTCTGTTGTTTCCACCTGCTTAATCTGTGGTAGTAGTGGGTACAACTGTCAATTGTGACAGTTGATATAGGAGAATATGATTCTTAAGATGATTGGGCCTTGGGTAAAGAAAAGGCTTTGAATTGGGCTTGTTTGGAAGCAAACTGGAAACCTGTATAACTGGCAAGATTAAGATCTTCATGTGCTAAACCAGTCAAGATGCTGGATGCAATACCTAAACCCTAGTCAAGGGCATCTCCAGACACAACATATGATAGTAATCTAAAAGTTTAGATTGCCAGTTTGGATCCACTGACAGATTATATCTGTTCAGGAGGTAGTCACAATTCATATATCATAGTCAGCTGTTCCATGTTTCTCAGAGCACCTGTGTTCCAAAAGATAAAACCTAGATAATGAATTACTCTTTTAAAACTCAGTTTGACAGTTTAAGAATACAACCTTAAGAGTAAGAGTAGGTTTCAGGATTGGGGTGTTGGTATTTTCTGTAGGAGGAGAGCCATAGAAAAGCCCATGGGTGAACTTGGCACTCTGGTGGGCAGCCCCGTTTTAATGTTTGCCCCTGTGTATTACAGATCTTGAGTCCTGATGAAATTGAAAAGTATGTTGCTGAAATTGAAAAGGAGAAGGAGGAAAATGAGAAGAAGAAACAAAAGAAAACAACTTCATGATGAATGAAATTTCATTGGCAAGATTGAGTTTTTAGATCAGTCATGAGTTCTGTATAGACATGAAGGCATTCCATTCTCCTGTTCTGTGCACCTTTTCAAGAGGCCTACAATAAACTGCCTGCGTTTTTTAAAAAAACCTTGTTACTGTACGACTCCATTCTTCAGTGTTCACTGCAACATGATTATATTGCAACTCTTGTATAATGGGCAAAACTGTTTCCTTTGCTTCTGGTTGACACCTTGTTGACATAGAAGACTCCCTTTATTACACATCTCTGCTCTAGTTTTATTTACAGCGACTATTGCTTTGTTATGTTTTGCTCAGTTTTGAGGTTAAGCCCTGGCCTACTTTAGCTCATGTTCGGTGCCTTAATTAACCACATAAAAGCTGTGTTTGCCAAATTCTTGCTGCACATTTCAGGATGATAAAATACCCAAGTGCTGTACCTGGGCATGAAATTTAAATATAAACCTGCTATCTCAGTGAACATTTTGACAATAACTATATAACTGGCTTTCTAACATCAAATGCAATAAAATAATGATCAAAGATTATCTCATAGTGGTTCAGCTTATGCTCTTCTCTAGTATATAAAGGTAGAAATTTAGGTAAGGTATCTTAATATGTACACTTCCTTGTGTGTCTGAAATGCTTCAGCAAATACTTTTTGGTGACAAATTTATTTATGTATTTATTAGATTTTTGCCCCGCCCCTCTAGACAATGTCTACTCGGGGCGTACATAGATAAAATGTCTGTACAGTAATTAATGCCCCTTTTAAGATCTATAGAAAGGATAAATATAAATGACTACGACCAGTAACAAATGAAAATGGCTCAGTTATTTATATCTATCTGTATAACTCTGTTACAGAAAAAAATTGCTTATTCAGCAGTGGCTGTAATCCTGTTGCATATTGTAGTAGATTACACTAGAGAGCAGGATGTGTCACCCTAAACTGCTTCTGTGACTGTCAGCCTCCATAATAAGGAATGAGGTACAAGTATTAGTTTTGTGGTTTCAGTCTGATAAACACTAGCTGTATAATTTGGGCTGTAGGACAAAGATAAGTACCTCAGCTTCTCTACCTATTTATATATATGAAACACCTTTAAGAGGCCAATAAAAGCTTATCACAATGGGGCACTACATTCCAGGTTAAATTGCAGTGCAACAAGAATGTTGCATCTGATTGAGTTGTATTCAGGTTGTTACACCAAGTTACATCAGACCTTTCTGGAATTTTTATGGTGGGAGAAAGGGCCAAGCATGACATAAGATGATGGACAGAAATTATTTTATTCAAGTGCTTTTTTGTTCATTGGCCAGAACACAGGAAGCCTCAGACTTGGATAACTTGTTAATGAACATGTAACAGTATAATATGGACACATGAGTTGTATTCAGGTTGTTACACCAAGTTACATCAGACCTTTCTGGAATTTTTATGGTGGGAGAAAGGGCCAAGCATGACATAAGATGATGGACAGAAATTATTTTATTCAAGTGCTTTTTTGTTCATTGGCCAGAACACAGGAAGCCTCAGACTTGGATAACTTGTTAATGAACATGTAACAGTATAATATGGACACATTTTGATTTGAACACTTTGGTAGGTGGCTCGAGTTTTATTTTGTTCTAACAAAAGCAATGCATTCAGAAAAAGGGATATGTCTAGCCACGAAAAAGCAAATGGCCATGACTTTTGCTAGCCCATGGCCCTCCTGCAATCGCTCATTAATTTTTCTGCAGTTCTAACGTAATATTTCAAATGCTATAGTATACAGCTTCTTTGGCTTAAACACTTTGTTCAGCTGTTCCGTGGATTTTATCTGAACTTCCCACAGAACCAGCTTTGTTTCACTAGTCTTTCTTAGCATAGCTGGGCCAAACCCACACTGGGCCACGCATTATACATGCTCCCAACTACAAAATATATCAGAAAACGAGCACTCATGATGAGTACGTATTGGATTGGGGGAACCTACTTGTAGTCCTGCGCTAATACAGGAAAGGGGAAGAGTGGGCTGGTCTCTGGTCTTTATGTTTTATGCCAATATCTTTGCCAGCATTCTACAAATAACCAGTAGAACATGTTGCAAAACCAGAATGCACCTATATATCTATGAACTCCAATCAACGCTTTTGGTCATTTCTGTTGCTGCTATCACAGTCCTATTTAGCTGTTTTCATGTTCACATCTTTTCTGAAAGGAGCCTTGATGGCTGTTTTTAAATTAAAAATGCATGCAACTGTGCTATCAGATTTCCATTTAATGTCCTTCCAGGCAGCCCTTCCACTTTATATAAAAAGTCTACAAACTACTTTGGAAGACTTGAATGGGTTAGACAGTGAAACAGGGATAGTCCCTGAAAATCAAGTCTTTTATGAGCTGTAAGATGCTGGCTGGATAGCTCAGTGGGATAGGCATCTGGCTGTAGAATTTGGATGTTCGATTTCCCTCTGGTTCCAAGGTGTTCTCAGAAGAAAGAAATGGTAAACCACTTCTGAGTATTCTCTACCTGGAAAACCCTCAAAAGGGTCACTGTAAGTTGGAATTTACTTGGAGGCACACATATGTGAGCCAAAAGGGTCACTGTAAGTTGAATTTACTTGGAGGCACACATATGTGAGCTGCAGGATCCAGTCTCTCCGACTCACATTTATTGTGTCCAATGAAGGTTGCAGAAACTGGTGTGTCAAACGGTACTCGAAATTACTCGAATGTATACTCGAGTATACATTCAATAGCAGAAAAACACTAGTAATACTTGGGAGACATTCTAGAATAGGATAGTTCACAACTGTACCAAACCTGAGCAGCTATTGTATGTCCAAGGTCCACAGAGGCATTCTAGAATAGGATAGTTCACAACTGTTCCAAACTTGAGCAGCTATTGTATGTCCAAGGTCCACACATGCTCCTGTTGAGTCTGTCGCCTGTGTCCCCATACCCTTCCCAGTCACTAATATAACCTCTTCTTTTATGTCCTCTTTAAGTAGCAGCATGGGGAACATTTTTGCTGTTTTATCACCCTCCTTGGCCTTACTTAGTTCTGTAAAGCAGCCCCCATCAACAATACAGCCCCCACAACTGGATGCTGCATGGATGTTTTAAAGTACAAAATTGGGAAAATGTTGGCCACACATATTTTGCATAGTTAAGTACACAATAACGCTTCCTACTTAGTAAAGGTTCCCCTTGACATTTAGTCTTCCTACTTAGTAAAGGTTCCCCCTTGACATTTAGTCGTGTCTGACTCTAGGGCGCGGTGCTCATCCCGGTTTCCAAGCAATAGAGCCAGCGTTTGTCCGAAGTTTCTGTGGTCACGTAGCCAGCATGACTAGACACAGAATACCATTACCTTCCCACCGTGGTGGTACCCATTTATCTACTTGCATTTGCATGCTTTTGAACTGCTAGGTTGGCAGAATCCTACTTAATAAGACGGCATATATTTCTGTCTAATGGGAATGCACCAAGAACATGAAACCAATGTGGTTAAATTAAACCGATATATTACCAACTTAAGTGGTACAATCTGGATTTTCAATCATTGTTCAACTTTTCTTAAGTTTCTGAAAGAATAAAAAATACAAAATACTCCAACCCTTGAAAGTGTATGGCCCTTTTATGTTTTTCTTACCAAGTTATGGATAGAAAACTCATTTCTAAAGCTCATTAAGTCCATGATTACATTGGCAAAAAATGTGGAAATGCTACAGGATTGGAACGGGTCGATCCATGTATTTCTCCATGGACTACACGACATAAAAAGCAAATGTGAATCAGCCTAGACTTTTCTCTCCACAATCCGCAGTTTTTTCTTCTGCTGAGGCTTTTTTTCCATGGTGGATCCATTCACATTGGTTCAGTTATCATGTTTACTTTAATGGTATACAATGTTATTTCACAGTAACAGAGAGGATGTGTTACATTTTCTAGAACATGACACGTTGGTATGATTTTATGCCACTTATCCTGCAAAAGACTACAAATTCTCTCCTTTCTACACCAAAGAAGTGTTTGTTGAGTGCCCACCTACCATGGATTCAGTGAGCACAGCTATTTGTACGTTTTGTAGTAGTGTTTGTACAAATTCTGGAGTTGTCCATTTTAATTAGATAAAAACATTTTTTCTGGGGTATGTAGCCTGAGAGAGATGAGTCTCAGGCTTACCTAAGCCCGTGGTCTGATGGCGGTCCAGCTAGCCTCCTCTCCTGTGTGGCTGTCGGGGAGGGTCCTGGGGCATGCCAAGAGGTAGATGTGCATCAGGGAGATCTGTGTGTATGTGTTAGTCAACTTTTCATGTTTTGTAGTCATATTTGGGGGGAGGGGGCTAAAAAGTTATACACAGATTTTGAACTACAAGGGGGTCTGGCACTCCTAGCTACAACTGTTATTGAAGGAAGAAGTGGACTTAGGAACAGTGTTGCTACAGCCATACAACTGCTGCCCTATGGGACCCAGCTTAATAACAGTTCTCTGTAGGCTGTTCTCTCTCCTCTCAGCTTCACCAATTCTCCAATTTGCATTATGCTGCTTATTCATCCATTGCAGGTCTCATTTCAGTTTCAAGTGTTCAAATCATAGTGGAGGAATGATTCATGACATTCTATTAATACAGGGGAAGCTGAAAACAGGGACATCTACATTGGGTTAAACTGGAAGTAGCTCACCACCATAAACTAGGACCTTCAATTGCTAGACTGTATATTTTGCATTTCATGCCAAAAATAAGCCTTATACCCACTCACCAAGGACAATAATGGACTCGCTGAAGTGTATCAGTCCACCAAATATTGGCCCGTGAGCAGATTATTCACTTTGAGAATGGGCCACTTTCCGAGCCCTTTTGAGCCGCTACATCCCTTCTTCTACAACCATACAGATTGTCCCACCAGAGGAAAAGCATGAGGAGAATGTTCCAGTTAGGCCAGTACTGACTGGACAAAGGGAGAGCTGTTGTTTCACATGACTGAATGGTACAAAACAAAGAGTGGCTCTCTCCTACTATGATTCATCATCCACTATTTACTTGCATGCAAACTTGTTCACAACAGGCTTGGAAAGGTTCTAGAACACTGCTGCATAAGAACACAGTTTAGCTCATGGGACAGGCTACAGTATTTTGATATAGCCCCAAATGCTATTTTCATGAGCAACTGGCTACCTTTCAGTAGCTGCTGGAGTGGACACTGCTTTTATAGGATCCAAAAAGCCTCCATTAAGCAATAAGAATACAGTTGCAACTACAGGAAAGCATCTTCAAAATCTTCCATTTTACTGAAAATACCCCAATTCAAAAGAACGGCCAATGTAAAGCTTTTCTATGATAAACAGGATTTCAAGTTGTTGTCAAGTCTGGTTAAAATGGTGGGTGGCAGTCTTGCTGCCCTTTAGGCTCCTTGAGTGTACCTCCTGAAGAACAAAAAGCACTGCTGCTGCTTCCTTTTTAAACAGAAAGAAAAGCTCAAGAAAGCCATTGAGCCTGCGAGCCAGACTCTGCTCTAGCTGAGAGAATTGTAGGTGTGGATCTGGTTGGGTTGGAGCTCCCAGAATTCTGCCTGAAGAACTACTACAAAATTCTGGGAGCTGAGCCCCTCCACCCAGTCTTCCTTTGCTCAGGAATATTAGCAAATAGGCAGAATTAACCAGCGGTACCATCTAGAGCAGTGGTCCCCAAAATTTGGGCCTCCAGATGTTCTTGGATTTCAACTCCCAGAAATCCTGGCCAGCAGAGGTGGTGGCGAAGGCTTCTGGGAGTTGTAGTTCAATAACATATGGAGGCCCAATGTTGAGGACCACTGATCTAGAGTACTATACTTTGGCCAATAAAAATTTGCCAGGATGGTTGTATAGTTGTTAAATTGCTTTGACCGTTCCCCTAGTTGGCCTGTCAACTACTATCCTTAGGTATCAGTTCTGGTGCCATCACTCACTCTCAAATGTGACCATTCACTTTGGGCCCAACAAGATTGCTTGTCGAAACCTGCTCGGCAACAAAATTAAGTTGAGAACAGTTAAACATGTCCATGTTTATTGATAATTATAATTTACATGACTCCATAAAGCAACCCCATCACACTGTGTAATCCTTTGTGATGAAGTCCTACAAAACTAAAGGCTTTACAACAACTTAAACCAATGCATGTCATAGCGGAGAAACCCAAAACGCTTGCCATGAAAGGGGCAGCAGGGGGAAAAGTGGCATCTAGTATAGAAGCCTTTCAACAAAACATTCATTTCGCTACAAAAGGGACGCATGCCTATTACTAAAGGCTTAACCCACATTCATGCAAGTTTATAATCCCTGCACCCCCACCTTTCTACCCCACCCCCACCCCAGCCGTTTTAAAAACACAGGGCAGAAAAAAAATGACCTTAACTATTTATACAGCTTGGAGAGTGGGACTCAGAAGGACTGGAACATGCTGATTCCCTGACCTTCATCTAGTTCCCATTCTGCATTCTGATGATTAGCATCTACTGCTCTTTCATGAAGAGAAGGACTGGAAGCCAGATTCTTCTCCCCCCCCCCTTTTAACTCAGAAAGAGAGAGCACCACAATTGCATTCTCTCAAGTTATTGAAAGAGCATCACATAATTGTTAGGCCTTCTCCATACACAACACCTCCCATGTAGTGGTAGAGAATGGACACAAAACTTTAGGAGGCTGGAGAATGGCATTTATCCCTGGCCAGTTCAGATGCTTCGTATTTCTTCTGGAGGAGTGACCAGCACTCTAAGCAAGTCTGTTGTAGAGGTTCCCAGAAAAACCACACAACTGAAGTGGTGAACCCAGCATTATACATACATGATCAGCAACAATTCTCACCAACACATTATACAATTTTGTTTTGCACTAGGACTTGCTTCTAAGCTTCGGGACTGCTTGAACCAAAGGTGAAGGTGGAAAGACAAGAGAGAAAGGCTGAACAGCAGGAGACCCGTAGAATCCTGGCTCCTCAGATTAAGAAAAAGTTGCTGGTTTCAAATGAGCTTTGGTTCATTTTAAAAGAATTTAGAATTGTGTTATCTCCTTCAGGGAACAAAAAGAGTGTTTTACATGTTCAGCAACAGCAGCCTTTGGAATCTACAAGCAGCACAAATTATTTGCACTACTTTAACAAAAAAGAAAGAAAAGAAAATTCCTTGAAGAGGTGGTTTCTGAGCACACTCCTTTCAACTCACTCCTATGCCTCCATCCTGCTCAGACACAAGACAGTGATGCCAGAGTTTAAGCCTGTGCACAAACACTCCATTCACCCATTATTTTAAGTGCAGCAGTTCTGATTGTTCCCTCCTTCCTATGTACACATCTTCACAGCAATGTCCTTGAGAACCTAAATAGAGACAAGAAAAATACACAGGTTTTATAACTGCCAAAAAACCCCCAACATACCTAATTATTCAGATGGGTCACTTCAACAACGACAAAATAAAGCACATGGCAATATTTAAATTTAAACTATAAAGACTTAGACCATATATGGCAGCTTGTGATCCCCAGAGAAAGGACAAGATGAAAGTTTAAGCATAGGGAACGCAAGAGGTACTCCAGAGAGGTTTAACTTTCTCTGCATTTCAGCTGGTTCACCATCAAAAGATGAGGCAGCATATCCCTCTGATCCACTTGATCCCAGTGAAACAATATATGCACCTCAGAGAAGTGCACTGTTGCAAGATCCTACGTAGTTGGTTTCATGCAACAAACTTATTTTGTATTCATGAAGGCTTATTTTGTGTGGACAAATCTGGCTTCTTTGATATACTCATCCCAGCTTAACTGCTTCAAAGCCTCAATTATTTTAATGGTAATGGTAACAACTTGCCTGCAAGGTTCACACTCTTCCAGTAATTATTTTAATGGTAATAACTTGCCTGCAAGGTTCACACTCTTCCAGTGCCCACTCTAGGGGTTGCCTGACTTCGTCGCACTGCTCCAGATCCTCTTCCGCCACGAAACCCACCACGAAAACTGCGGCCACGGAGAAACCGCCCAGACACGCCAAATGTCTCTGTGTTGAGCTTCCGTTCTTCAGCCCATGTTGTACGCCTTGAACTAAGGAACACATTATCATTTTTCCCTCCCTACTGCAGACAAGTTCTCTTCAAGTTCATGCTGCAAATCCCTATCCTGGAGGGAAGAGCAAAAGCCAACACCACAGCACCACTTTACTTTTCAATGGAGCTTTTTTGTTAATCACTTAAAATTCCTCCAAGTTTATAATCATCTAACTCAACGTTCAGATTATATCATACCACTAAAACATAATTTAAAAAAATCAAATGATGAACAGAAAATAAACAAAAAACTCAATAAATAAGTAATGAAATTAAATAATGAAATAAGACTCACATTATATGAAACAACAGACCTAAACTGTACTCTTTCTGGAACTCCCAAGACAGAAAGTAAACTAAGAGTGCAGTTCTTTGGCCTGGCTAGGCAGGTGGACTGAGAAACTATGTATGTTTTGGATTGCCTTTCTAAAATGAAGGCGAAGAAGTCTGATTTCTATAGAGGAGATAAATCATCCTATAGATTCTTATACAGCAATTATGTAAATCACCTAGATTTCAGTTCAGAGGAGATGTTGTCAAAGAAGGACTTTGTTTTGTCATAATAGCAATTCGGTCCCAGGAGGTCTTCATCAGCATTCGCATCACATTTCTCGGCTGCCACAGGAGGTTCTCCCTTTTCTTCACCTGTCTCCACTTTATCATCTGAAAGGAGGAGGAGAATCTTTTTTGCCTTGTTGGTTTTGCATCCCCCTATACAAGTCTTGTCACTTTAAATTCTAAACTAGATACTCCTGAGTGATTTCAGAAGAACAGACTGACATCAAGCAGCAGCATCAAAACAAAACTACGTACCTTTAAAGTTGAGTTTTTTCTTGAATTCTTTATCTAGCTCCTCTCGGTTGAATTGTGCATTTGCACTTTCAAAATCAAAGTCGCCTTCAAATTTTATGGTATTTTCTTTTACAGCAGTCGGTCGATTTTGCCCTCTGGAACGATTCCGTGTTCTTCTATTTCCTTAACAGAAAAAGAGTTAGAATCTTTTAATGCGAGTTTATTTGGTACTGGACTAGTGAAGACTTAACTTAAGTGTTCCTAGCTTGTAATAATGTGATAACCGTAACCTTTATTTCCCCCCCACACACACACTGCAAAGTTATGTCTAGCAAGCCCTTTGGTCTTGGTATACATGTCTATGGCTCCAAGTATTGGTACCCAAATATTCCACATATGATGTTATACATTCAGGCTAGGATTTCATAACCAAGGTCCTTCCCTCCCCTTAGCCTGAAAATGTAACCTCAAGTTTAGGGATTCACTTCTGAACAGCTGTGTTAGTAGAGAGCCTACATCCCCCATCTCTCATCAGAAGTTGTTAATTCACTGTTATTTCGGCTACTCTATGCATAAAGTGTCCAACTCTCTTGGAATCTGCTGAGAGCAGCTCAAGCACACTAATGGATTTTAACTCATCCTGCTCTTCTCAACTCAGATATTGAAATTTTTCTAATGGTGCAGCAGTGTTTCCTAGGCTTTGTGTCACTTAAATCATGTTAATATACAAAATGCAAGGCCTTATGGATGTGTGTTCAATTATCCATAGATTATTCAAATGCCCTTTTGATTCTATTCCTCAAATTGACCAGGAGTTCATTAATCCACGTTCTTCTAATATCCAAATTTATAATACAGAAATAATGCAGAGGGAAGTATTTCAGTTAGTTTGGAGAATTTACAGGGAGGAAACATACCTGATCTCCTCCTCTGGGGCCTTCTATTCTCATCATTCACCTGCCCTTGTGTTTGTACAGGGGTTGGCTCAACTGTATCTAAGGCAAAATAGAAGAAGTAACAGCAGAAGTTACTCATGTCAACTTTAGAGCTAGGTTACTGTTACTATTTTATGAGGGTCGGCATACAGTATTTCTCAAGAGAAAAGTATCAATACCATTTGTCTTGTTACTTTGTTGAATCTGGCGTGTGTTACGCTGGATCACTGGAGTGGCTTTGATGGGAGGAATCTTCTTGGGATTCAAGTTGCTGTCAATGGGGCCTGTCTGAACAGCCTGTTCTACCATAGGACTTTTGCGCATGGAATGAACCGAGGGAAAAGCTGCACCTGAAAGGAAGCCAAAGAATTCCAAGTGAGTCCTGTGTTCCAAATGCAAGCCACACTGGGATTTGCAGAACTCCCACTTCCCCATCATCTTGTCGCTAGTGTTTAGAACAGAAAGTGCAATTCAAAGGGGACTTAATTAACCAGCATACTCCATGCACTTGAGAAGACTCTTCAAGTGTGCAGTGACTTTGGCTTTACTACAGTCCAAAGAATGAAACTGATAACCTTCAGCCACATTCAGTATCACACTGAAAGATTTTAATCAACATTACAAGAAGATTAAGAGACCTAAAATTCAGCAAATTGACTCAAGATTCACAGAATTCAAAAGCACTGAAATAGGCCACCATTCCGTGTATTCAGTGGCAACACAATTTAGATTTCAGGCATGAACAACAGTCCTCTCCACATCTCTGAAAACTGGTTATCTGAAAAGACACTTACCATTCCCACAATTACCTGAGGCAAACAACAGGAGGTAGGACTGGTTTAAATTACATAAAGATATGCCTTTTATCACAAACAAAGTAATATGTATATCCGCATGCACAAAGATCAGCTTAAGGTCCAGTGAATTTTGATCCTTGAGTTCCAAGTCATAGAACGCAATTTGACAAAGGCCATACACCTCCTGCCTAGAGCTGCCTCATGGTGTTTCATTCATTACCTGTCAATCTTTCACTTTGCTATCTATGTCTCAACACTGCTCTGAAAGCTGCTAGATTAGACAAGCTTTTTTCAACAAAAACAGAAAACAGCAAATCCACAAGCTCCACAATTTGAGTTTTTACTGACACAACCCAGAAGTAAACCTGTACTGCAAGAATTTCTTCAGTACGCAAGAATTTCTAAAATGCATTAGGGCTTTCTGAGAAGTCACTTTTCAGTGCCCTGCCATAGGACACAATTAGAAATCCAGCCAATACATGCAATACTGGAATTCATGTGGAGGATGGAGTGAGTGGGATATAATAGAGTAGATTTCCAGTGGCCTGGGGACAAAGCTTCACTGCTCAGCTATCAACAAATCTCAAGCTCTCTGCCCATCATTTCTTATTTCTTTGTCTGTCCATCCAACTTTGATAAATAGCAAAAAAGAAATCAAAAGAATATGCATATATTTTCATTTTGAAAGCAAAACTAGACAATAATGCAAGCATGTCTATTTCCACAGTAATTTGGCTATAAAATTTGCCTTTGGTTGAGTGTATGCCGTGCCCCCCCCCAAAAGGGTCTTATATTAAATTTTGCTCCAAAAAATGCATTAGGGCTTATTTTCAGGGGATGTTTTATTCAACCAACCCTGTCATCTCCTTCTGGTTGCTGCACAATGGTGGAGGGTGAAGTTTCACTTCACCGGGGCTTATTTTTGGGGTAGGGCTTGTATTAGGAGCATCCTGAAAAATCATACTAGGGCTTATTTTCAGATTAGGTCTTATTTTCAGGGAAACAGGGTAGATTTGTCATTCTAATGCCAGAAAGAAAACACATTAACACTGTGCAGTACTCATGGAATGTCTTCTATCTAGCCAAGCAATACTGTAACGGCATTTGGGGGCTGGCTCTCTTACAAAGTAGGCAATTCCACAGCAAGTCCTTTACATCCTAACCACATTTAAGATACCAATCATGCCCTTAGTTTTCAGTCCAATCTATCCTACTGAACTTTGACTTCCTCTTGTGAGAATGCAGACCAGAACCAAGAACTCTCTGCCTGATACATCTGCACCATAGGCCTGCATACACATCAATTACTCTTTTGTAAAGTGGGTACAGTGCAGAGTATTTTATGTCACAGACCCTTGAAATACAGTTAAAGCAGCACTAGAGCAAAGCATTTGCTAGAGTTACCCACAGCTTACCTCTTGCATGCAATAATATTCTAAAGTCTCTCTTCCCAGAAGCTTTTTAGTGTTGGCCACACATCACCCATAAAGCTCACACAAGAATTTGTAACATACTTTTTGGTTAGATTTGCAACCTGAAAATGACATTTTTGCTTAGGAGTCTGCCCTAGAAGACTAGATGTCCAAATAAGCATAAAAAGGAAACGGAACCTGTCTACCAAGCATTAGTAACATCTTCAAGCTGAACAAAGCCAATGCACAACTACATTCAAGTAAGCACAATGAAAAAAGTATTACAGCCACACACAACATAGCATGCACTGTAGCCCTCAGAAGCAAATGTTACAGCAAAATTGTTCAATAGTGAAGAAACAAAGCAGAACTTTATTTGCTACTTTGGAACAATGTCCTCAAATTTTGCAGAAAAAGTTAACACGTCAGAAGCAACATGCTCTTCAACTAAAACACACACACACAGGATTTAATTGGGATATGCACTGTATGAAGACAGAGAGTCTGGTTCTGTTCCAAAGCCAGGCAGTCTTATTAGTTATCAGTACTCTATCTGTACAGGATTTGCCTCCTTGAGTTTCAATCTATACCATGGTTTCTAAGCAACACTGTAGAGGATGTCTTTTGGAAACTCTGACACCAAGTGGAGGGCTTCTGAACCCAAAGTTTCTAACTGCATTCTAATTCCCAAACTTCTTTAGATTTGTTCTGTATTACAGCCTCCTTCCCTCGGGGCTAGTTTTTGCCTCAGTACTTTCAACCACTGTCCAGAATTCAATCTGCTGTTTATCCACCAATCCAATACCTGGAGCAGAAGCAAATGCACCAAGGTTTTCAGAAACAGACAACTGCAGTAATCCTTGCAGGTGTTACTCTGTTCAGGAGGAAGAAGGGGGAGGGGGTTTAAGAGACAAAATGGTTTTGCAAACACCATGCAGTTCTTCCAAATACTTGGAATCCTCAAGCTGCTGTTACCCTTAGAAGACAGCAGGTGTGTCTCTGATGGCAAGTCAGGCTCTGAAACTGGCTGAGGAGATGAAGAAGTGCTAGGACTGGAAGCAGCTGCTGATGCTGGAGGGCTTACCAGTTTTTCTAGAAAGAGGAGAGGAGAAGACAAAGCAAAGACAGATACCAGTAAGACAAAAGACAGTAGAAACACCCAGTCCCCAGCCCACTGGGAAGGCACAAGGCTTTTTTAAATTTGGAGACTGGGAAGAATTTGATAAAAAAAGGATAGATTCAGTACTAAAAGATCATTCTGCACCAGCTACCACCTTTATATCAACACATTTTAAGGGTCAGTAAAAAAACAAAAACAGAATATTCAAATATATTCAAATTCCTGATTCTGTCTCCTCATTCATTTTTAAAATGATGCTGATACAGTTTTAATCAGTAAAAAAAACAAAAACAGAAGAATATTCAAATATATTCAAATTCCTGATTCTGTCTCCTCATATTCATTTTTAAAATGATGCTGACACAGTTTAAGTGTCTTTCATTAAAATCTTAACAGTCTTGACTGACATACGAAAAACCCACTTTGAACAATTCTTTATAGTTACTTTAATTAGATCCATACTAATTTTACAGCTGAGGAACCAAGGCTGAGAAAGAGCACCTGTGAGCAGTTTATGCCTTGGCTGGGATTATCAATCAGGCTTCCAGATTTGATCCAAAAATTGCCCCTTGCATTACACACCTTGAGTAGCTGAGTAAAGGTGGATTATTCATGTAGGTATCTTTCAGTCTTGAGAGACTATGGTAACATGCTCTGAACAGAGGTCGTAGAACAGTGTCTAGTGTGGCTGAGAAGGCCAATACGAGAGTGACCATCCTTTCCACACTGAAGACAAATACAATCTGTCCCCTGTCCAGTTCCCTGATTTTGCTGGGTTCGGGACTGCCTCTTTGCCTCGGCCTGCTGGACAAGGGTCTCTTCAAATTGGGAGAGGCCGTGCTCCAATGCCTTCCTCCAGGCTGAACACTCAGTTGTCAAGGTTTCCCATCTGTTGAGGTCCATTCCTAAGGCCTTCAGATCCCACTTGCAGATATCCTTGTATCACAGCTGTGGTCTCCCTCAGGGGCACTTTCCCTGCACTAATTCTCCATACAGGAGATCTTTCGGAATTCAACTATCAGCTATTCTCATGACATGCCCGAGCTAACGCAGACGCCGCTGTTTCAATAATATATACATGCTAAAAGTTCCAACTCGTTCTAGGAGTATTCTATTTGGAACTTTGTCTTGCCAGGTAATGCAAAAAATGTGTCGGAGACAACCTATATGGAACATGTTCAGCCTCCTCTCCTGCTGTGCACAAAGGGTCCAGGACTCACTGCAGTACAGGAGTGTACTCATTATTCATACAAGCACACTTTATACATAGTCAGCATCCTAAAGTTGTTAATTCTGTGCAGACACTGGCAGGTGTGAAGCAAAGCCATCAACAGCTAAGCAATGTCCAAAAATCTGTATCCATTTTCCCTGTTCTTGCTGCAGATCGAAAATCTGTGTCTAGGCTGTTCTTGAAAACATCTCCCAAAAGAAAAAAAACCCAACACACCCACAGTATGCCAAGAAAAATAGAAAGCTTCATCTCCTTGAGCAATACCAAGACCATCTTCTATGCAAAAAATTAAAGAGCATCTCCATGATTCCCACCTACAGCTGTAAGTGGTAAACCCAAACAAAGATTTACTACCACAGTGAAAATGAAGCCTCTGCTACTCACCTAAACCAAGGGAAGCTGCATACTGCTGGCCAATTAAAGAGCTGGCAGCAAGCTGGCTGTAGGGTGGCATTCCTCTGAAGGGGCTGTAAGGCACATGTGGCTGAAAGGAGGATGCTGAGGCAGAGCTCAGGGAAGACTGAAAAAGGAAGAATGTGAAATTATGGTTTTAAAGAGGACAAGTGAAAACTTCAACTAAGAGGGGAAATTTAACCAGTACAGAATGTTCAGCTTTGCAAGGGTAGTACAGTAACGATCACAGGAGATTAACACAGCAAACAAAGCCAATCTTCTGAAGGCTTTTTTGCTCTTGAATTGAGAAAAATCAGTATTTGACTAGCTCATTATTGTAGTTTGTTTACAAACATGTACATTACAGGAACAGCCTAACTAACATCTAGGCTGACACCAATCTTTCCCCAAATACAGTGTGTCTGCTTCAGGCTGACAGGTGGAGCAATAGTAGCCTGCCTAAAGATAGGAAGGTTTAGGGGGAAAAATTTTTCTGCCTTCTTCCTGGATGCACTTTTCCATTTTTTTCCAGGGGAAAAAACTGGAACTTCCAGACCCTAGAAAAACATTCCAATTAAATATCTTTAAATAAAAAGATTTTTAAGGCAAATTTTTTATTCACTCAAAATGCCAAGAATAGTATGGTATTAAGATCTATCTATACAGTAGTCTATGGAACTAGAGAACAATAGTTCCTGTCAAAATATCACAGATTAAATATTCAAAGCATGCAGTATTTCTATACCTAATGTGTGCTACCATCTTTATTATGAACAATGGGGGAAGAGATGCCATTTCTGTCTGCTTGGAAAGCACAGGTTACAGTAGTTTGCAGCTCTCTCTTCAGTAGATTTTATAATTTGCTAGCATAAAACAAAAGCTTTTATACTTTAAAATTTCATAAATATGCAGAGCAGTAGAGCTTTCATATACTATCCAATTCTGAAATTCTTACATTTCCAGGTCCACCTATCTCAGGTAGATTATGGCTACAGGATGAAAAGCTGTCAATGACAGCTAAACAAAAAGTAAAAAACTAGAGATGTACCCTTTGAGTCCCATATACACAACCATTCAGTGTAAAGAGAATGAATAATATGGTAGGACAAGAAATGGAAGATTTACTGTTTGCCAGGGAGTCCNCCAAGACGAGCGGGGGGGGGGGGGGAGAGATCATATAGGATTCTCTGTACAGCCAGTCAGCTGAACATTAAACTATTCTACCTGAGACCTCTTGGCTTAGCAGCCCCTTGTAGAGAATTTCTATGCCTTGGGTTGAGGCTCTGACTAACAGTTATTCAAGAGCCCAATGTGTTGAATCTGTGGGATAGGATATTTGTTAAAAAGCAGCTTCTTGCTGCAATCACATTTACAAAACTGCTGCTCTAATTGCAAATAATCAATTACTTTTATTACTTGGCTGTTCAAGATTAAAATCATCCATTGTTCATACTGGGTTAGAATGGATCAGCAAAGCCCAACATTCCCAATAACTCTTTTTTTCCCCTTAGCAATCTTTTCGCCTTCTTAGCACACTGATCCAGGCTGACACTGGTGGAAGAAATTTCTGCTGGAATTACTTACCCCCCCTTAGCACACTGATCCAGGCTGACACTAGTGGAAGAAATTTCTGCTGGAATTACTTACTTGGACAATAGCAGGATCCTGGGGCAGGTTATGCTGTGCTTTCGGAGGCTCACATACAGTAATATCTTTGATGTCACTCCCTCGGAAGATGATGTATTCATAAACCTCTTCCCTAGGGGGTGCCGGACGGTCTGTAGGACGATCTTCAGTTCCAAAGGACCGCACTATTAGTATTTGGAAAAAAGGTATGTGTTATTACATTAGTTCAGCAAGCTAGATTATACTGCCTTTAACAAGAGCAGGAATTTCTGCTAACCCTAACTGTTGCTTTGTCATGATCAGGTCAATGCAGATAGCTCTTCCCAGAAGTTAACAAACACCTCCTGCCCCACATCCTTGCTTTGGGAATGGAGGCAAGATAATTATTACAGGACAAACTCTCTTTCTCAACTAGCATCACGACAGAAAAGGAGAGAAGAATAATGAGAGCATGCTCCTGGAATGCACAGACACTATTTTGAATATATTTTTTATTACAAAACTTCAACATGAAATACATAAACCAAAATACAAATAACAGAAAAGGAGAGAAGAATAATGAGAGCCTGCTCCTGGAATGCACAGACACTATTTTTAATATATTTTTTATTACAAACTTCAACATAAAATACATAAACCAAAATACAAATCAATTGTCTGTCCCACCACCTTAGTTAGGACCTCTTGCAGTAATCTTCTTCTTCCTTTATTGTCCTCTTCTCCAGAACTGCACTGAAACAGAAAAGGAGAGAAGAATAATGAGAGCCTGCTCCTGGAATGCACAGACACTATTTTTAATATATTTTTTATTACAAACTTCAACATAAAATACATAAACCAAAATACAAATCAATTGTCTGTCCCACCACCTTAGTTAGGACCTCTTGCAGTAATCTTCTTCTTCCTTTATTGTCCTCTTCTCCAGAACTGCACTGATTCCCGATTTGGAACTTTCCCTTTTTCTTTTGTTAGCACATATTCAATAAATCTGCCCCATATATCATAAAAATTATTATTTTTTATCTCTCCAAGTGCTCTACCCCAATACCTGAGAGTAGGCAAATGTTGGTTGGAGAGAATATTCTTTGCTTGCTTTTCTGGTACAGTGTTTAAGGAATTCTCTTTATGAAGGTTGGCTGGTACTTATTTTAACACCTTTTTGTTAAGAGACAAATACTTTTTTATATAACACATCTGATCAATAATCTTTAATAATTAATATAAAAAGAAAAAGCTGATAAAAAGGTCACACCATGGTTAAATCATATTGACCCAAGACAGTATAGTTAAAATATTTTCTGCTTTACTTTGCATATAAAAATGTAAATTACAATATATTCAAGGCCTTTATTCAAAACTTTGCTGAAACATTTCATGATGGTTTTTCAGAAATCTGCTCTACCTGTTGTTTCACTGTACCTATCACATTTTTGGCATGACTTACTAAGTAAATACTTGAAGAGCTATATAGAGATTCCTCAATTTTCAGAAGAACAGGAAAAATTACTCAAAATGTTATGGGAAGGACATTTTGGAGAAGAAATAAGCTATCGTCCTTTGAAAAATATGTTGATTATTAGACTATGGAGATCCATGTCAATAAGAATAAAAGAGAAGTTTTATAAGTTAGTGTGACATGGTAATTAACTTCAGTGAAACATAATCAAATAATTGTTCTAAGATGTGCTGGAGAGGGTGATAAATAAATAATCAAATAATTGTTCTAAAATGTGCTGGAGAGAGTGCCAGAAAATAGGTACAGTACTGTATTTTCTATGTATAAGAAGATATTTCTGTCTAAAATATTTAGATTAAAAATTAAGGGTTGTCTTATACATGGAAATAAGGGGGAGGGATCAAAGCACTTTCATCCCTGCTTTCCCCCTCCACTTTCTTGCAAGGAAAGTTGAGGGGAAAGGCAGGAATCAAAGTGCTTTGATCCCTGCCTTCTCCCTCCACTTTCTTGTGAAGAAATTTTGGGTTAGAAAAGGGTGGTCTTATACACTGAAAAATATGGTACTTATGTGATTGGAATGTGAGTATGTATATATATAAATATTGGCAATTGTTTTTAAAGAAATAAAGGAAATAAGCAACTTGAATTTAGCTACATGTCCTAAGAGAGCACTTTTATCAATAATGGAAAGAGAAATAGATAAGTGGATGAGGAGAGAACTAGTTTCTAATTTGTTAACAGCGGTAAGATTGATTACTACTAGAAATTAAGTGATTATTATAGCAAAATTTGGGATATAGCAACTAACAATGAACATACATGTAATAGGGAAATTAAGAAGAAGGTAATTAGTAAATACATGTTTTAAGATGTATGGGGAGAATGTATTGATTTTGTATTTGTAAAGGGAAAGCGGGAAAGTGATACATATGAGTCTATTATTTATGTATTTATTTATTAGATTTTTACCCTACCCCCCCTACACAGCGTCTACTCGGGGCAGCTTACAAATACCTGGATACCTGAAGGACCGCCTCCTTCCATATGAACCTACCCAGCAGTTAAGATCTAACCAGGCGGTCCTTTTGAAAGAGCCATCCCTTAAGGAGATAAGAGGGACGACTTGTAGAGAAAGGGCCTTTTCGGCAGCTGCCCCCAGACTATGGAATGCCCTCCCGACTGAGATTTGTCTGGCGCCGACGCTGATGACATTTCGGCACCAGGTCAAAACCTTCCTGTTCCAGAAGGCTTTTAGCTGAAATAATATCAGCTATGGGTCTGATGGCAATTTTTAGAATATATATTTTAATTGCATTTTAATTATTTTGCCCTTTTATTTTGCCTTTTTATTGTATTATAAATGCTGTAAGCCGCCCAGAGACCTTTGGGTAGTGTGGGCGGCATATAAATTAAAAAAATAAATAAATAAACTTAAATGCATGGAAACAAGCCACTGTAGCTGTAAAAATGACAAGGTAGTAGGCCTGGATGACACCCATGCAGAAAAGATAGAACATTTTGGCACAGTAATAAGATTTTCTTTAGTTTTGTTTCAGATATTTCATATTTATTATTTGTTGTAGTTTTAATAATTTCCAAATTAGTTTTTCAAAAGTGCATTTTCAAGAGCATTGTTTCTAAACAGCACCGCCAAGGTTCAAAGTCTAGCTCAGCAGTTTTGGAGTTTCTGGTTTTGTCCACATTTCTCAAACAAGGAGCAGATTTACAGTTCCGGATGATCACAAGCTTTGTTCCTCCCCTCTTTCAGTACTGTGCACAGAAGTGACATCATAATAAAAGATTCAAGTAAGGTAAAAGCACAAAGAAGAGTATGCCAAATTCTGCAAAGTAACTTCCCCCTCATTCACCCTTGAATCAAGCCAGCCAAAGGTGGATCAGAGTTGGTAAGGAAAAGTCTGAGTGAGAGCACTAAATGTCAAAAAGCGCTGTCAAATGTGAAAAGTAAGTGAGAAAACATTTTAAAGGAGCTTTTCAGCCAGACAGCATGAATCATATTCGAGATCCAGTATGATCCCACAAAAGAAGGAAAGCACATAAGAAAACAATTGGCCACCATGCAAGAAACATTTTAGTAGTACAGTTCACTCTTCACAGAATAGTTCTCCTGTTTTGTTTTCACTGTAGATACTGACATGCTTATCTATCAGCTGAAGTATGATCCTGCAAATAGGATTAAAGTTGCCAGAGGTCCAGCTATAAATTCAAAATACAGTCACCACTCCATCATCCAGAACTCAAATAAAAGTGAATAATGAAAAGTCTTTTTTCTACTCAATTATTGGCAATGGTTTATTTGTCCTTTGCTGCAGAGGGTGGGCAAATCCAGGAACACCTTAGTAGAGAAGGAAAGGATGCTGACGTATAGCAGAGATAAAGGACAGGCTGGCTTGTGATCTATCAGGCACAACAGGAAGTATAGCGAGGACTGCAAGAAATTCCAAATCCAACCTAAGTTAATATCTTTATAGGGCCAACTCAAAAGGCATAAAATGTGATCCACGTTTTGTGACATCTTAACTAGAGATGGTATAACTAAAAGCGGATGGCAAAATAGACAGAAAGAACATGTAGCATGTCCTAAAGTGTGTCATCAGGTTTTTCCTCCCTTTTTACTCTCCAGTCCCTTTTGCTAACACCTCACTTGATTAAGAGCTCTGGAGATCTTGAAAGCCTATGCACTTTTTCCAGTTGAACAGACAATAAGTACATGGGTATTTATCTTCATAGATCTTCTAACTGGGTGGTACATAGGAAGTGTGTAATGACTCTAGCTCGACACTAGAGATGGGCACAAACCTCCATTCGGAGGTTTGGCCACATGCTCCCTTTCCTGACTCCCTGGCCAATGACCCACTCATCCATCAGAATGTGCTCCTCTCCTCCTTCTCTTCAGCTGTTCCACCAGTTGCCAGCAGGAGCACTGGTTTACCTGTCCTGCTTTCTTGTCTGAGTGGTCAAACATGAGGAAGGAGTGCATCCCAGCTGGTGAGTAAGGGACCAAGCCCAGGAAGTGGCAGAAGAGAGTGCATGGCACTGAGGTTCATGCCCATTTCTACTTGACACCATTCCAAAATAATGTTTCATTTTTTTTTCTGACAAAAGGGAGTAGGTTTGTCTCTGCTGCGGTGTGGGCATTAAGGCAAATTAATTCCCCAACTGGAGTGGCAGCACGGGTTTCAAAAAGCTTCTGTCCTCATTTCTGAGATCTCTTTTGTATTATCAAATGTTTATCAGAACTAGTCCTTAACTTAGAGATGGGATCACTAATACGTTTGGCCTGGAACTGTGCCCTATACTATTGGCAGCAACTATTCTATAGCAAATTCTTATGTCACCTTGACAATGACTGATCCATATATCTCCTCATGGAAAAAAGTTGGGAGTTCAAAATAATTCATTGCATTGTCTTAGTTTAGAAAAGCTTCATAGATGTAACAGCATGTAAACCAAATCCATGACAAAGCAGATACTGACAGGCAGAATTCGCGAGCTCTATCCTGCTCTCCTAAAGTATTAGGATTAAATGTTATTTATGGAAACAAATGTGTTTGTTATTTAAATAAACTGATAGTTCCTAAGTACATGAGAGCATTTTACTTAGTAAGCTTTAAGAAGGCTATACCTTCAATGCTGACAAAAGAGTTCTTCTAAGATATACCCACATGGCCAAAGATTATGTCCATGCGGTACTGGAGCTGTAGCACATAT